GCTTATTGGAACTCCACTCAGGATTGCAATGTCATGCTCAGCTACAGAGCTGTGCAATCGTGGTCCCTATAAACACAGCCACGACTGGGCTTTGGGACACTGCTGATCAATGGGCATCTCAGGAGTCTCTCCTCATTTCTGCATTCTACTCACAGTGAAAATGATGAAGATCTATTATTATCTGATTCTGATGTTCAGTTTCCGCTTCTTCCAGGTCTCCCAGATCTATAAGCCTCCACAGGAAGCATATATCAGGGTCAGGGATGCAAGGGCCAGGAGAATGAGAACGGTAGTCGTAGGTAGGAGAGAACACCAGGAGAGTACGCCCTAACTGGATGGTCTAAAGTGACAACCTTCAAAATCTATGAGTGTCCCAAGACTGTCTGGGATATGGATGCAGGTTTACTCCCAGGCAGACACTGGCATCTTCTACTCCCATATTTTACCTGTGTATAAGGATGTACCTTGTGCGGGAGGTATTCTTAGATTGCAAGGTTTTCTCACAGAAAGGCCACATTCACACCCAGTGAGATTCCACCCCGACCCCATACTCATTGGGGTTACGACTGATGCTCTGCATATACTACAGCAGGCAAGCTGCTACTGCCCCTCCCACCTAGCCAAGTGGGTTAGGACCAGAGACACAGTTAGTGTCCATGTGGACAGCACGAGGAAACTCCTACATCCCTGGAACATCCGACCTTACGCTGTTGGTTAAGATCGCCGCGGGCATCATAAGCCACATGCTTGGAATGATGGGCTTCCTCCCATTGCCTCTCTGAGTCATACTTGGGGCTGTCTGTAAGCAGGCATTGACCCAGGGTTCTAAAGATGAGAGCTAAATCACATCACATCCAGAAATACATTCTCACAGATTTACAGAAGCCTCTAGACGAATTGCGGGAGGTTTGAGCATCTGGGCTTCACTCTGGGCTGCAGCCCCTCCATTAAGGGTGTCTATGAGCATAGGAAATCCTATGCCCACTAAAATAAGGCCACACTCAGGCCTTAGGTTGTCACATGCCCTGAGCAGCACAGAGGTCCCTCATCTCTGCTCTGGACCCAGTGGGAACCTTGAGGATCCACTACCTTCCCTTGCTAACGCTTTTCTTCCTCTGCCTGTACTATGGCAGGTAGGTCTCAGCACCAATTGGGATACCCAGAAAAGTCTGAGGATACAGGATTTAAAGGGAACAGACAAGAGCTGGTCCTGTGCCTGAGGGGTCAGCAGGAGAGCAGACCTTGTTCGAGAGGCCTAAGACAGCAACCTTCATAGTCTACAAGCAGCCCCTGGGAAACAAAGACACCCTTCATGGAGATGCATGGCTACTCACATTGTGAGTCATTGTGAAATGTAAACAATACCAGCATCTCCAGGCTAATGCCGTTTGGATCCCCGCAGGAGGAATCTAAGTCCATGTCAACATGAGCTCTTTGATGATGCAGCTGCTTCTGAGTCACCCTGGCTCCTTGTAGGTAACCCGTCCCTCATACTCCCATTAGTAACCCCAGTAAGAATGCATTGGTTCACCAAGTTGGACATGGGTACAGCCATTACTTTTGTTTGTTATGTTACGTCTCTTCATGTTACGTCTCTTCATGAAAAGTCTCTCACAACAGTCTCCCCTGAGTCAGGTCCAGGGACAAAGTGTCAACAGTCAGATCCCCTCCTGCCATAGCACACTAGTGAAAGGTGACATTATGGGGGGGGGAATAATTAGATCATATAAGTGGTGTGAAGAGAAAGAAGGCGGAGAGAGGGAGGCTGAAGGCGCAGAGGCTGTCTGTGGTCATGAGCCACCCACCTTTGTCACACAACCCTCAAATCAGACAGGCTATCCCAGCTGGAATTCCCTGTTGTGTCTTCCAGCAGATCCCTCTGCCTTCTGTATACACAACATGCAGAGCCTGAGGGAGGTGCCCGTCCACACTGCGCACAGCACACAAGGCAGAGAGAAAGCCCGTGTCTTCATTCTCCATCCTGCCCTCCTTGGACTGTTTTTAACATATGAAATGCGGGATGCGTATCTGTTTCTCAAACCATACACCTAGAAACTGGGGGGCAGTGTTCTAAGGCTACAATCATACTGCAATGTTCCCCACCCCACACCAATCATGAACAGGGTTTATTCCTAATTTGTGTATTGTTATCCCTCGGCAAGAATTCTGTTTAGTCCGGCTGGGCAGAACCTCTGCAGGCCTGATATCGTCTTAGTAATTTTTCCACCACGCCTTCTTTGCTCGGTGGTTATAAAACATTTTTCCACTGGACATCAGGAGTGCAGAACCATCTTTGCCCAACACCCACAGCCACATTCTACATAACGCTGCCTTGAAACAAATGTAAGGGTGATGTTCTCCCACCTCCCTTAAGACTTTCCTTAAGCAGGTTTACTTCTGGCTTTGGGGGATCTGATTAATCCTCAGGGATGCCTGGGGGAAAGGTCTGTCAGCAAAGCAGCTGTTAATGTTGGGGATGTACCCTCCTTTTCCCTTGCCCGGCCACATAACTGAAAGATTTCAAAAGACTCAATCAACTATTCAGATCCCACTCCTCCCATGACACACACACACACACACACACACACACACACACACACACACACACACACACACTCCTCTCTGTCTAGTGGTTAACTGATCTTTGAGCAAACCCGTTGACTGTAACCACTGTAATCACCCAGTGACTAGCCCATTGTGGCTCACCACAAATCCTCGATATTGGGGGAGGGGGTGGGGGAGGGGGCTCAGAGGGCAGCATACAAATCTGGCACAGACCAAGAGACACAGCCCAAGTGAGGCTGCCCCCTAAGAGCCAGTCCACCCCCACCCCACGTCCCCGCCCTCACCCCTATCCCGTTAGCAACTTGGCATCAGGCTTGGACCAAAAGCCTTTTGCCTTGGGGCCCCGGGGCCGGAAGCCTCCCCTACTCGGTTGCGGGCAGGGGAAGGGGCGGGCACAGGCGGCAACGGCGCAGAAGATGTACGCGGGGCTCCTGGGGCTCTCTGCCCTGCTGCAGGCGGCCGAGCAAAGCGCGCGTGAGTGCGGCGCAGCCCGCGAGTGTGCTCACCCCCTCAACACCCCACTCCATCCCAGTGTGCTGGGGGGTGCATCTGCCCCTGCTGTCCAGGCAGGCGGCAAACACTGCACACCCAGCGCGCGCACAGTAGCTCCCCCTCCCAGCCTGCAGAGCACTCCCGGTGCGATCCCCTCACTGATGCATGATTCCCTCCACCCCATGCAGACACCCCTCCATGCATGGTATGGGCCCTCTCCACACCCCAAACCCGGGGTCCTGAATCCCCGCCCGTTACTCGCTCCAGCCGGCGCTCGGCAGAGAGGCTGCGTGGGGCGCCAGCGCTTGGTGAGGTGCCCGGGCTCACTGGACACCCGGGCTCCGGGCTAGGGTGGCCGCATGGGAGCCGAGGACTGGGAGAGCGGAGGTGTGGGATCCTAAAGGGCACTGATCCCCCTTTGCGGTTTGGGACACGGCAGAATGCTGGCTGCTGGGGACATGGGTCCTGTGGGCGGTGGAGGTGAAGCAAGATGGCCATACTTTTCGCGCCTTTCGTGTTTGAACTTGTAACCCTTTCGGTGCTGGCATAAAGCGCCTCCGCCCACTTCCGCCACTCTTTCTACAAGGCCTTGTTCCCCAGGAGACTCCACCATCCCGAACCTCCAAGGTTCCGCATCCCCTCTTGGACACTATGAAATTTACCTTTAGTTTGCAACGTAGTTCCTGCCGATTCCTGCCCCTGTCACCCGCTCAGAATTCCAATGGGTGCTAGACTGGACCCTAGAAAGACCAGGATGCACACTGCTGCCCAAAGTGACCTAGGCACCCTAGCTTTCTAATGGGGAACGGTTGAGTGTTTAGCACGAAGCTCATGGAGTTAGAGCAGGAGACAGAATCTGAGGCTGAGGAAGGAATGGCCGCAATCCCTCTGCTCGTAGCCACCAGGTTCCCAGCTGTGCCTGCAGAGCCACATTCCGTGTTAATATTGGAAAACTCTGACAACGGTAGCGTGAAAGGGTGGCTGAGTGCCCTCCACTCAGTAATCAGTAGTACCAACACAGTGTCTTGCTGATGCCCATGTATGGCCGGAGCCTGGCGGGATAGCACAGACCTGTAATCCAAGCCATTGGAGAACGTTAGGGTGGGTGGACATGAGTTCTAGACCCAAGTAGTCTATGGGAAGAGGTCAAAGCTAGCAGAGTATTGTCTCAAGACGAAAAGTAAAAGTGGACCCGGAGGGATTTCTCAGTGGTGGAGTCATAGGCACAGCCCTGAGTTCAATTCCTAGGACCACAAACCAAAAGAAAGGAGACAAAGCCAGCCTCCCAGAATGTGACTGAAGGCCAGCACTGCCGGTAGGCAGCAACAGCGTGGTGAGGGTGAGATCACTCCATAGTGTTGGCCCCACATCACTGGGCCTCCCCTAGGAGAAGGTTCGCCTGTTTGAGCACATAGTAGCCATCAGGCACATGTTCTGTGTAACCCAATGGACAACCAACCCCACACACATACCACTACCCTTGTGCCTGTCTTATTCCTAGCAGGCTCTGCTGGCTCTTCAGTTACGGCAAGGATGCTGTGTTAGGTTGCTTGGGACCTGGGTTGTTTTGTTTTTTACTAAATGGCCTAGTGGACAAGGCGACCAGAGAGGCATAGGAAATCTCACAGGTCCCAGGGGTATAGAAGCAGAGCATACAGCATGTGGGGCCATATGAGAATATTCATTTGATCAGGAGTTAGAACCCCTGGTAGGGCTTCTTCAGACAAGACAGGTTGACCAGGGTGAACAGAGTCGGAGGTCCCTATCACACAGACCCTGACCCTGGACTGGCTAAGGTTGGGAGGTGCCATCTCCCAGGGTGCATGGGCGTAAGGCAGAAGCTGGGCTGGCTGGTGTGCGTAACCCTGGCACGTTCTTGGAAGAACACTGTGCTGCCTGTGCTAGAAAGGTTTTCAGGGTGTCGGGAAGCTGTAACAGAGAACGGGTGTTCATATGCAGTTGCCTAACTCTCCTTCCAATGCCCTCATCTTGTCTCCCCCCAGGCCTCTGCACCATAGTTTACTACTTTGCCACAGGCCATCTCCTCTGGGGGTGGCTGGCCCTTTCTGTCCTCCTGCCTGGCTTCTTGGTCCAGGCCCTGAGCTATCTGTGGTTCCAAGCAGATGGGCACGGGGGTCACTGGTGGCTGGTGTTACTGCATCTGCTGCAGCTTGGCGTCTGGAAGCGGTAAGAACAGCCCTCTCTCTTCCATCCGATGCCATGGAAGAATTCCCCTGTCCACACACACCTTAAAGCCATCGCCGGGCCACCTCGGTTTGGCATTGGTATCCAAAGACTTCTCTAACATCAGGGGCTCCTCCTGACTGCACCAGTGACTTTTCGAATGCTTTCTCTTGTCTTTTGCCGGATTCTACATCACTGCTGTTTCAACCCCTTAATCAGACTCTGGGGTCATATAAGTGAGTTTGCTCAGAGTGCTCCATCTGACCCCTACTACCTTAGTCTGTGACAGTGGCTCAGACTTAACTAACCACAAGCCAGATGGCAAAACCCACGTGATGGCAGTTGCTTTAGGTTTTTGTGGCAGAAAGAAGTGACCTAGGAGCTAGAGCCAGAGGTTTTTGGTTTATTTTTCTTTTCTTTGTATGAAAGGTTGCCCGGTATGGATCTGGTCCAAATGGCTTCCCTGTGCCCACGGGTGTCTCCCGAGGTCAAGTGTAGTGTCATTTCCACCTGGAGATGGGAAGCTGTGTGTTTACAGACACGGCACGTTTCTGTTCTCAGCTGCATCATAACCCAGACAGCTGAGGGACTCATAAACGGGGAAGATATAAGGAACCAGACAGGTGAATCCTGGAGCTCAAGTGCTTATTAAATGTCAGATGGCCAAGGCTTGAAGGACACCCAAGGAGCCAATGCCCACTCCTGGCCTCTTTCCTGGGAGCTTTGAGCCTTCTGTCTCCACCCAGGCTGGACTTGGGTCAGAGTAGAAGGTGCTTCTAGAGAGACATCAGGTGACTACCTCCTCGTCATGTTCCTCTCCAGCAGACCCTGATCATATAGAGGCCTCAAGAACACGCATGTGCCACAGTGGCTAGTCCCAAGCCAGGCCTTCCTGCCTGAGCTCAGTGTTCTCCTGAAACAAGAGAGCTGACACTAGCGAGGGGGATAGGCTGTCTCATAGAACATGGGACTGCAGCCTTCTCGGAGCACAGGCTGCTATCTGTTCCCTCGTCTGTCTGGCCTTGTAGCAAGGCCAGAGGGCTCACTGCTGCTCAGGTAGCTAGCTGTACAGGGTGAGAACTCAAAGACAAAGGCTCCTCCAGCATGTGGAGTAGCTTCAACATAAACCAGAATTTGATCGCTCAAAAACAGAATCCAGAGTAGACTTCGGAAAGCATTCTTAACTACGCTCGCGTAAATCTGCTCTCTGGGGCTCTGTAGTGACCCGTGGGGCCCTTGTCAACCTTCAGAGAACTGAGGCTGGAGGCTGGTCCAGATCTGTGGTATTTGACAATGAACTCCCCGCAACGTCACCACTGGGTAATGGCAGGGATTGCAGCACATACTTAAAAATTAGCATGGCTAAATGAAAAAGGCAAGTGTAAATTGAAAACGGGGAAAACAGGGAGAAACAAAAAGTCATGTATGGTTAATTTAGAGAAACCTTTCAGGTAATTAAAAATAATGTATAGAGCCTGGTATGGTGACACAAGCCTTTAATCCCAGGCTTTAGGATGAAAAGCTAGTCAGATATCTGTGAGGTAGAGGCCAGCCTGAGCTACATCATGAGTTCCAAGCCAGCCTGGGCTACATAGTGAAACCCTATCTCAAAATAATAAGCTGGGTGGCAGTGGCACATGTCTTTCATCCCTGCACTCCAAAGACAGAAGCAGGCGGATCTCTGTGAGTTCAAGACCAGCCTGGTCTACAATAATTAGTTCCAGGACAGGCTCCAAAGCTACACAGAGAAACCCTGTCTCAAAAAACAAAAACAAAACAAAATAATAATAATATAGGAGATGGAGAGAGGCTCCGGGTGGAGAGCACTGGCTACTCTTCAGCGCCCAGAACTCACATGAGGCGGTTTTGACTGCCTCTAACTCCTGCCCCAAGGAATGTATTGCCCTCTTCTGGCCTCCAGGGGGTGCAGTTGGGCACGCACCCATGCGTGTGTGTACACACACACACACACACACACACACACACACACATTGAAAGAAAGACATGCACACACACACAAATAAAAATAGATCTTCACAAGAAAATTGAAGAAAAATAAATATTGATTTCCAGGAAGAGGTAATGTAATCCGTCCAGCGGTAAAGGCACAACAGGCAGTTTTTAGAACTGTACCACAGACGGGCTCTAACTTCCTGGCAGCCAGAACAGTAACGGATGCCCCCTCCACAGTGTTCCAGAGGTTACAGATGACACCAGCTACAGTCCACCTCCTCAGCAGAGAACGCTGAAAAGTGGAAAGTGGGGAATCTGTCACTGATGCAGCCTCTCCTAAACAAAACAGGAGATAGGCCAGGCAGATGAAGTTTTGTTTTGTTTTCATTGCAGTTTGGCAAAGGCACCTGTAGGGGGAGCCAGAACAGCTATGTTTTGCACAATCTGGAACGTTATAAAATGAAGCCCCTCCCACTAACCGACTCCTTAATGAAATGCAGACGAATGAACTAACAACAGAAAAAATCAATTAAACACAAACCCCTTTGAATTAAAACTGCTTATTAAAAAATGCAAGGAAGGGCTGAAGACATAAATGGATTCTGGTTTCAATCCCAAACAACACAAACTACAATGTTCAGTCTACTGTTTGAGAGACCCTGACATTAGCTACAATTCATTTTACATGATGGCAGTTATTTTTTTCCCAATCTGAACATTTCATTTCCACTGTAACACTGTGTGTACTTGTATTTTCTTCATCTTTTTTAAAAGCCTGCATACCTACTTAGAAACTCCGCCCGGGAGGATGGGACACTACCTAAATATTCTCCTCCTCAGCGTGCATCTTGGCATAGCAATTTCTCTTTAGTGAAGCAGAAAGTTAAGGCAAACTTTAAGGGCATAGAAGACCAGCTTAACACGGGTAGGTACAGATTGAGTGTTTAAACGCAGGTAAAGGCAAGGAAGTCCCCACTGAGCCCCAGCAGCACAGGTATGAATGTGAGGACCTAGAGTCTGTCTAGCCCTTCAGACCCCTGCATGGGACCTGTGAGTCCTTGCCAAGGACAGCAGCATTCTCTGGTCTGTTCCCTCCTGCAGACTGTATTCCCTGCAAGCTCGCCTTGCCTCCTTAACCTGGCAGTAAACTTCCGCCTACTCCCACCCCCCAGCCCTTCTAACCTTGGGGACAGTCACCCACAGTGACACCCTGCTGAGCACATGAAGTTTGAACTGAAATGTGCAGCTTGAACTCAGAGCTCAGCAGCCGCATAACTGGTGACCCTGAGAGGCATCCGTAGGTACCAGGGACGCGCTTGAGAATGCCTCGTATGTCCATGTGTCTGAGGAAGCCTGCACGGTTGGCTTCATGGTCTATGTCATGACGCCTTTGCTCTCTGTAGGCACTGGGACTCCCTGGCAGCTGCTCTGAGGAAGGGAAGGGAGGCTCCCTGCTGGGGACAGCTGCACCTGCAAGAGGCTGACCTGTCAGCGCTCAGGCTCCTGGAGGCTCTGCTCCAGACAGGGCCCCACCTGCTGCTTCAGGCCTATGTGTTCCTAGCCTCTGGCTTCACAGATACTGTACCAGGTGGGTACCTTTCACCGCTGCTTCCCAAACGGCAGGGGCGTGTGCCCAGCCTGGTGTCCCCTCCACGATTCCTCCTGTTTGAGAGACCAGGGAAAGCCCACCATCACTAATGCAAATGGTGGTTACAAATGGCTTTTGCTTGGGGGGGTCCTGAGGTCACAGAGAGCTGGTTTCTTTGGGGGCATCTAAAGTCACTCCTTAAGACAAAAGTTGTGCAGAGAGGAGGTAACCTTGAAAAATTCCCTTGGGAAGTCTGCTTCTCTGGGAGTCCACGTGTCCACCTCGCCTGTGGCCACCCTGTCGCAGTAGACCTGACACCTAACACCCTACAGAAAGTCTAGCTCAGTCTCCTGTCCCCAGCTTCCATTCCAGCCAGGGCAGCTCATTACCCCCTCCTCTCCGTCCTCTCCCTGCCCCTTCCTCTCTCTTGCCCTTACCCACCCTCCTCCCTCTGCCCTCTAAGTATCCAAACTTAAATCAGAAGGTCTGAAGCTCAGATGTGGCTCCTCATTCCACCGTGGTTTCCATCCATGCTCCATCATGTGTGGCGAATACTTGTAATGTCCTGTGTCTGGGTTGCTGTAGGACCCACATCCTTTTAGCCACAGTTTAGGCTCGAGGCCTTAGAAGCCCAGGGTCTGGAACATTTTTAAAGGACATCAAGAAGAGCATCAAGGGCACTGGGCAGTGGAGCCATTTCTCTCTCCACCTCCGCCTTGTTTCCCTGTAAATGTGCTTGTGCGCCATTGTTAAGTTACCCACCACCAAGGGGCTTGGTCAATAGAACATCACCACTGGGCTAGTTGTTTTCGTTTTGTTTGTAAGAAATTTAGTGTTTTCAGAAAGCGATGGGAAAGGGCATCTCCATGTATTCTTCGGAGTCTGTAGGGATCTCTGTCTGTTCAATCCCCCAGGGATCAGTGCCCTGCTTTCCTGGTCTTCACTGTCCTGGGCCCTTGTGTCATACAACCATTTCCTGGGTGTCATGAAGCCTGGCCATCGAGCGACGCAATGGGCTGCTCTCTTGTGCCAGCAGCTGTGGCGGATGGGCATGCTGGGAGCCCGTGTGCTGAGCCTGGTTCTGTTCTGCAGAGTTTACCGGGTTTGGGTTTTGGTGGTTGGAGGTAAGTGGGGCTTCTGTTCTGTTCATACAGCCGTAACGGTAATGGTTCATGCTCCTCTGTCCTGGATCTGTGGCTAGCTGTGTTCGGCAGAGGATCTTATGGAGACAGTAGAAAAGTCGGTCTCCATTTTCCCAGGAGACCTCAGCAGACTGGAGGCGTGGGTATGACCTCACTCTTCAGCGGAGTAACCTGGATTCACCCTTGGTACTGACAATTGCTTCTTGTCCAGTCCTCTTGAAACTAGAACACCCACAGTGTGGCTTCTGCTATGCTCTGCCAGTCAAACAGTCCTTGGTAGCCCAGACCCATGAACATGGAGGTCCAGACCCTAGCTCCCAAGAGTGCGCCTCCAACGCAAGGGGTAGTGGTGCATTCTAGCTCTTTGGAGACACCACCACAAAAATCCCAGCCTCAAAATTTCCAGCTGAAGCTGGAAGCCACAGTCCTCAGAAGACTGTTGTGGATCACACGCTTTCGTGTGGAGAATTGCTAACGGGAGGGAGGTCCAGGTTACACCTGATCATGCACGAGACTGTGCAGTACACATACACTGCTCAGAGCCTCCCTCAGCACCCTGCTTCCTTTGGGTTTTGGGGTTTTTTTTGGACACTTTGTTTAAAACAGGAAGTCCCCACTGAACCCCAGCTTTCTCTTAGCCAGCAGCACAGATATGAATGTGATGACCTAGAGTCTGTCTAGCCCTTCAGACTCCTGAATGGGGCCTGTGTGTCCTTGCCAAGGACAGCAGTGTCCTCTGGTCATCGGTGAATACACTCTGCGAGAGGGAACAGTGTACTCTTGTTTTAAGAGAACCGAGAACATTGAGAAATAGCTGGCCCATGTACCCAGAGCAAACATTTAATACAGCTATTGGCAGAAAAGAACATTTTTTGGAAAAGAAAAAGTTGTGTTCTTACAGAGAAATTAACTACATTTTATTCATTATTTTAAAATTCAGCTTGCGTTCCAGAATGAGTCTATTCATCTGAAAATATAAGAATAGAACTCGCAGCCGGTCCACATGGAGTTCTCTTTGGGTCTGGAGGGTTGGGGCTCATAGAGCAACAATGTAAAGAGAGGAGAGAGTTTTATAACTGCATCTTTAAATGTTTTCTGGAAGCAGAAGGGCATCCATATGTAAGGTCTGATGCATGTCACTGAAGCCAGTCTGTTGTCCCACCTCCAAACTAGGTCAAATGCCCCCTGTGAAGCTCAGAGAGACAGACATGCAAAGGTGGACTGAGTGGCCTGCCTGTGCCCCTCGCTTCGCCTCTGGCTTTGGGGATGTTCAATTCCAGCCTCACCCCTTCCCATCTCCTCACCGAACATCGACTTCTACCCCTTACCCTCTCCAGGTGCTCACTGGCTGGTGATGACCTTCTGGCTTGTAGCCCAGCAGAGCGACATCGTGGAGAGCACCTGCCACTGGAGGCTTTTCAACCTGCTGGTGGGGGCCGTGTACATCCTCTGCTACATCAACTTCTGGGACAGCCCTTCCAGAAGCAGGATGGCCAGCTTCTACTTGGCAAGTGGCAATGGTGGTTTTCTTTAAGCCTGACTTTTATATTACCTATAGCATGTTAGGTGGGGAGGTACGTATATGCATGTGTGTACCTATCCGTCTGTTAAAGAAGGAATATCGGGGGGCTTGGGAATCAGCTCAGTGGGTAAGAGTATTTACTATGCATGCATATAGACCTGAGTTTAAATCCCCAGCAACCAAATGCCTGAGACCTCAGCACTGGGGAAAGGGGGGCCAGACACTGACAGACCCCTAGATCTTATTTTATTAGACAGCCTTGCCAAAATGTCAAGCTTCCAGCTTTGTGAGAGACCCTGTCTCAGGCAATAAGGAAGAGTGATAGTGGGAGACATTAGATCTCCTCCTCTACCTTCCACATGCCTACACACGTGTGTGTGTGTGTGCGCGCGCGCGCGCGCGCGCTCAGACACGCACATGCTATGAGTGCACCACACACACACACACACACACAGGAGTAGCCTATCATTGTGAACAGTGATTACACACTTTGAAAATAGCCTGACATCCAACCGTTGCCATATCACCAGGAGGGTCAGGTGCAGCCAACTCAACAGACTATTGGCAGATGCACCTGGGGACTTTTCCAAAGGGGAGATTCCCAGGCCCGTCCCCTGAGACCTGGGAATTATTGATTTAGAGATAGCTTTGGGTATGTTGGGCAAAGCTACGGAGGTAGCATAAGAACCACAGAGCACTGAGGAGTCCGTGCGGTGCTGCCAGAGAGCAGTGAAAGGCAAAGACAGCCTCTGGTCTGAAGTGATAGAACTGAAGTCTGATTTGTGCAGAGGTGTCGGGAACTTTTAGGAGGAAAAGGAGAGATTAGAGAGGAGGGGAGTGTGGGGACTTGGATCGAGTAAGAGAAATGGAAATGTGTAGGAAATAAGGGAGGTAGTTAGTGACTGTCCGGTCTGGTGTGTTAGCTGGAGTTGTCAGGAGCAGGAACACATGACTAGTGTCTTCATGAATGGCGGGAGAGAGGGCTCGCTTGAGTTAGAGAGCAAAGTGCTCTGGGTTGCAGAGGTGGCTCAGAGGTTAAGAGCACAGGCTGCTCTTCCAGGGGTCCTGAGTTCAATTCCCAGCTTCTACTTGGTGGCTCACAACCATCTGTAATGAGATCTGGTGCCCTCTTCTGGCCTGCCGGTTTACATGCAAACAGAATGCTCTATATACAGTAATTTAAAAGAGAGAGAGAACAAGACTGCTCACAGTCTCAGAGTGACCTCCTTCCATGTTCACGTCCCAAAAAGATGTTCTCAGATGTGGGAGACTCATTGAATCTGAAGGGACAGAGTAATCCCTAGCTGCAAGCTTTCTGGTGTGTCTGCTGTAAGAGCTGGGGCCTCTGGTTATCTCTCATCATGTTTTGCCTAGAACAGGCAGCGACTCCCGGCAGCTTTGAGCTCTCTCAGGCAGGAAGTTCAAGGGGCTGACCTGTTAGGACCTGGGCTGGCATCTGTCAGCTGTCTCAGTGAGGGATGGATAAAATCACCTGTACCGAAGGTCTGTCATTCTCACCTTGGTGTCTGTGGTTCTGTGGATGTTGTCATGAACCACACCAGCAAACCTCCATTTGTAGAAACATTCCCACGGGGAACCCCAGCAGGTACCAGAGACAGAAGGGAGGAGCTTCAGGTAGCAGGACATGGAGCTGTGTGGCCCAGGTATGATGACTCTCTTGACCCCATAGGTCATGCTGCTGGAGAACTCCATCCTCTTACTCTTGGCCACTGACTTTCTGCAGGGAGCACCATGGGCCAGCCTCTGGACTGTGGCGGGAGTCTTGTCTGGATTTCTCATTGGTAAGATCTGCTGAGCCTTCTTGGCCATGCTTCCTCCCTCGCTGATATTTGTATTTTATTTTTATTCTTTGTTTTCATGAATTTGCATGTGTGGTATGTATGCGTGTATGTGCACGTGTTCGCCTGTGAGGGGATGACGTGTGTGACGTGTGTGCAGATACCCAGGCATGTGAAGTCCTGAAGTTGATCCCAGGTGTCTTCCTTAACCACTTAGAGAGTCAGGGTCTCTCACTGAACCTAGAGCTCACTAATTCCCGATAGTCTAGCTAGCCAGCTTGCCCTGGGCATTCCCCTGTCTCTGCCTCCCAAGTGCTGGGATTACAGGCAACTGCCATCCCTGACCAGCTTTTACATAGGTCCCCAAGCATTCACACTTATGCAGCAAGTGTTCAATCCACTGTCTCCTCAGACACAACTTGCTTTTTTGTTTGGTTAGTTGGTTGGTTTTTCAGGACAGGGTTTCTCTGTGTAGCCCTGGCTGTCCTGGAACTCAAAACTCTGCAGACCAGGCTGGCCTTGAACTCAGAACTCAGAGATCCACCTGCCTCTGCCCCTCTGGGTGCTGGGATTAAAGGTGTGCGCCACCACTGCCTGGCTACAACTTGTATTTTTTAAATGAGCTTGGAAGACAGGGAACAGTTTAGGAGCAGTGAGCAGGGGATCGGTCCCAGGCTGTGGGTAAGGAGGTTGCCGTTTGCAGCCTGAGACTCTGAACTTAGCTTTGTGTAACTGGGTGACTGCTGAGAGCCTCCGACGAGGGTAGGAGCAGCCACATATGTCCAAAATGCTGCCCATAAATTGAGTAGAAGATGCTGATTTCTAAGCTGCATGTGAAAGAATGAAAGACGAGGACAGCCAGTGTCCAGCGAGAGTTACTCTGCCACCTACAAGAGCACCTGTGTGCTCTTCGCCTATGCCCAGTCATCTCCCTGTGGAGAGGGGCTCCCTTGGGATAGGATGTGATGGTCTTAAAGATGAGAGGCTTAGCCATTCATTTGGGGTTCTCTAGTTCACGGGAGGTGTGGTCACTTCCAGTTAGCACAGTAGGCAGGGCATAAAACTGTCCCCTCATCTCAGACGTCATGCTTTTCCTTTGCCCAGACGTGTCCAGCAGATGGAGCTGGACACATCTCTGGCTTTCCTTTGGCCCTCTGGGAATCCCCAGTAGGAAGGGAAGTGTGTGTGTCCAAAGAAAGAGCGGAATCAGCAAAACCGTAAGTCAGCCCTTAAACCCAGGCATTACAGAAAGTGTTTAAAATCACATCATATTATGTTATTGTCAGACATGATGGCTCATTTCTATAAGTCCAGTGCTTGGGAGCCTGAGGCAAGAGCATTGAAGGGAGATTGAAGCCATCGTGGCCTACGTAGTGAATTTGAGGCAAGTCTAAGCTAAGTAGAAAACCCCTATTTTTAAAAAAAGCAGAGAAGCAGCTCACAGGTACCCAGTTCTACTATAAATGAACTGTAGCCAGACAGTGTTGACGCACACCTTTAATCCCAGCACTTAGGAAGCAGAGGCAGGCGGATCTCTGTGAGCTCAAAGCTAGCACAGTCTACAGAATAAGTTCCAGGACAGCCAAGGCTACAACAGAGAAACCCCGTTTCAAAAACAAAAAACAAAAAATAATTAACTATATAAGCCAAATATGATGGTTCATGCCTGCAGTTCTTGCTTAGCTCAGGCAGTATTGGCACAAGTTTGTGGCCAGCCAAGGCTATGTATCAAGGCTTTGTCTCAAGAAAATAAGTAATTTTTAAAAAGAAAAATTATAAACCAGGTGGTAGTGGTGCATGCCTTTAATCTCAGCATTTGGGAGGCAGATACAGGCAGATCTCTGTAAGTTCAAAGCCAGCCTGGTCCACAGTGTGAGTTCCAGGATAGCCAGAGCTACACAGAGAAATCCTGTCTCGAAGAAAGAACTTTAAAAACGGTGGAGAGGGGGAGGGGGGATGAGGGAAGGAAAGAGAAAGGGAAAGAAAGGAGAGGAAAGGAAAGGACAATTATAGAAGCTAGAAAGATGGCTCAGTAGTTAGAACACTGGCAACTCTCCCAGATAGCCTGGGTTTGATTCCCAGCACACACATGTCTGGAATTTGATGGCCTCTTTGGAGCATCAGGAAGGCATGCGGTACACTGATATACATGCAGACAAAAAATAATATTTTTTAATTATAGTTCCTAGAACACAGGCTTCAAACAGTCCCTACCCATGTCTAGGCCCCCTGTTTCCTTCTTTCCCTGGACAAATGTGCATTTAGTGCCTACTGCATGCCCGCCTGGAGCTAAGCCAAGAGTCCGGCAGGTAGTAGGGTTCCTCAGAAAAGCAGTGCTCTCAGTGCCTCTGGCTGCAGCAGATCCTGCTGCCGGACTGCTGCCCCAGGTACATAGGGTAGCATAGGTCAGCTGGACTGCTGCCCCAGGTACATAGGGTAGCGTAGGTCAGCTGGACTGCTGCCCCAGGTACATAGGGTAGCGTAGGTCAGCTGGACTGCTGCCCCAGGTACATAGGGTAGCGTAGGTCAGCTGGCTTGCTGCTCGTTCTTGGCCTTGGTGAGACTTACGGCAAACAATGAGTGACTGCATACTGTTTGGGCTCGGGGAGAATCCAAGGCATTGTATAGAACTAGCATGTGAGCTGTGTCCAGTACAGAGATGGCAGGAGTGCATTAGGCATGCAGGTCCTTGTCCCCACTTCCAGTCCTACCACAAACAAGTGCCCTGCCCTGAGCCTGCCCCTGTCCCCAGGGACGCTGAGGGTCTAAGGGCAGCATCCTCTGGGTTCCTTCTAGGGCCTGTCACGCTGCCATGTGCCGGCGCCTTCAGCCGTCTCCTCACACTTAGTTTATATCCCCTGCGTCTATAACAAGCACCCTTAACCCAGGCACTTTCTCCAGAGTGACAGGAAACTGGAAACAACGTGGGTGTCTTACTGGAATGCTCTGCTAAAGAGATTATTGCGGCAGTCAACACTTCTGATCGACATAAATGAAACTGACAACAACATGATTAAGATGTTTGTGCACAAAGGAAGTGTTGTTGTTCGTGGAAATGCCTTGATAGGGGCTTTTGAGGAGCAGGACTGACCTCTGCTTCTTGTGGCTCTTGTTTTTGAGGCCGCTTTCTTCCCGCGTGCCTCCCCCGGCTTTGGCATGCATCCACACTGTGCCAGTGGTGGGATTCTGAAAGTTATGAGATTGTCACTGTGCCTCCTCTGGTGCTCACACGCATGCACACAGTCTCCACCATGCCTCTGGTGCTCATACTCACACACACAGTCGCCACCATGCCTCTGATGCTCACACTCACACACACAGTCGCCACCATGCCTCTGGTGGCCACACGCAAGCACACAGTCACCACCATGCCTCTGGTGGCCACACACATGCACACAGTCGCCACCATGCCTCTGGTGGCCACACGCATGCACACAGTCACACATAGCTTGAGTGGGCAATGGCAGATGCCCTCCAGGAAGAAGGCTGAGATGCAACAGGAGTGAAGTCATGTTGCACATTTCTTTAGGTTCAGAAGCATTTGTAGCTTTTAGATGCTGGGGCTTCTTTAAAACTCCCTGTGAACAATGTCTGGTCTCCACAGAGTCTTGCTGTAGGTCGAAATTATATTACTCCATTCAAAGAAACCACTGAGACTGTCACTCTCGGGAGGATATAGGGTATCCCAGAATATGACCACATCTCTCCTTTCTGTTGTTTTCTTTCTCAGGCAGTGTCTCACTGGTTATTTATTATAGCCTACTACATCCAAAATCTGCAGACATCCAGCAGAACTTCTTGAGGAAATGCTGTGGCCCCATAGAGAATGACAAAGCTGAATCCGAGCCTTCTCCCGGGGCCATAGTTCCAGCAGGGGAGAGGCCAGAGAGCTCGAGCTGGTGCCAAGAGGAAAGCTATGAGCTAACCAGTCTAGATAAGGCCTCCAGCCCAGAGCAGGATACCACAGAGGCGGGGCTGGGGGACCAGAGATCCGGGGAGTACTCCTTCTACAGCCACCACCACTGGCTGTTGGTGAAACTTGCTCTCAAGACAGGAAGTGTATGTAAGATCAACGCAGCCCTTGGAGGTGACAGCCCTAGCTGCTCCTGTCCCCCTGTGTTGGGGTCGAGTCAACACTGTAATCTGCAGAGGAAGCCCCTGTTTTCCCAGCAAGACATCCCATCCTCTCCTCATGACCCTCCGACCTTGGAGAAAGGCCCTGCCTATGCAGGTGCCCCAAAAGCAGAGATGGAGTCATTGGAAACTTCAAGCTTCGTCTCCTTTGCCAGTGAGCACGAGGACAGTTCAACTGTCCAGAAGCCACCAGCTCCACAGGAGGAGGACAGCCCAAAGGATGGACCCGAGGCTGACCTTGAAGCTCAGGGGAGGGATGCGGTTGGCCCTCTGAAAGGCGAGGAAGGGCAGGCAAACACAACACTGTACTTCAGTGCCACCATGGAAAGGACCACGCCCTCTTACCAAACAGGCAGCCCAGCGGCTCTGCGGGCACCCCACTCGGGAACACTGAGAGAGAGCAGGCCTGCGCAGCCTGATTTGCCTCAGACAGTCACAAAGCCCTTCCCTGTTACCATGGCCAACATTAGTCCCATTCCAGGCAGAAACTTCTGCCCCAGTGCAGGCCTCCCTGGGCGAGCCCCAGAGAGTTCAGAGTGTGAGGAATGGAGGGGGCCTGCAGGGGACATCAGTATACAGAGGTCCTTGCCAATGAGGAGCCTGAGACCTGCTGAAGAGCCTTGCTTCACATCTACCCCCAAGTCTGCGTCTATCCAGAGGGACTGTAGCTGCAGGGACAGGAAGAGCCAGGAGGTGAGCTTTTTCATCTGATCTTAGCCATGGTGGAATGAGCCAACCCATCAGCATCATGGGAAGAGTGGAATGGGTCATCAGACTGGCTGTTCAGCATCGTGGGAAGAGAAATCCCATGCCGACGCCCGTGTCCTCCCGCCTCTGATAAGGGAACAGGACTGGATGATGTCTGAAACCTCCCCTCCGCATCACACACGGTCCTTCCACACAGCAGAGATTCGAGTGCAATGGAGAGAGGCGAAGGGGCTTCTGGTGCCTTCTATGAGGGGCCGGAGCCCCAACACATCTCTCTCTCCTGCAGCTTCTAGGAAATGCAAAAGTAAAACTCACAAGTCCAATTTCATCCTGGACTCTATCATTAGCTGTTCTTCACACAGGATGGCTGTTAATCACTTGTTTTTAAAAAAAAATAAATACTTTGGGGGCTGGAGATATGGTCCAGCATTAAGTTATGCTCTTCCAGAGGACCCAGGTTCAATTCCATGACAACTCATGACCGCCTGTGACTCCAGTCCCCAGGGAGATGATGCCCGCCCTCTGCTAGCCTTTGTGGACACTGCACACACATGGTGCGCAGACACACATGCAATAAAAACACACCTGCAACTTTAAAAAATACACACAGCGTGTTTTCTAGATACATTATTTTTAGTCTGTTATTTGTAGCAGGGCACACTCTTTCTGGATATGGATATGAATGAGAACTATGCTCAGAATCGACGGAACTGAAACTGTAAGCACCATTTTGAGTTCAAATCCATTTGGTGGGATCTACGTAATATCTAGGCACAGGGGTTGTTTGGTTGGTTCAGTCTGGTTATTTTTTTAAATAACTTATTGTTATTTTATGTGCATTGGTGTTTTGCCTGCATGTATGTTTGTGTGAGTGTGTCAGATCTTGGAGTTAGAGACAGTTGTGAGGTGCCACATGGGTTCTGGGAATTGATCCCGGGTCCTCTGCATGAGTAGTCAGTGCTCTTAACCTCTGGGCCATCTCTCCAGCCCCCAGTATGGTTGTTTTAACACAGAATCTCGAGCTCACTATGTAGCCAAGGGTGGCATTGAACTTCTGGTCCTTCCTCCTCCACCACTTGGATGCCGTTCCTGCAAACTGACTGGTGGGGTCTTTGTTTGTTTTGTAACCCATTTCCTTCATCTCCACACTGTGTTCCCTCTCCCATTCGATGTACAACAAAAGCATCAAGGGAAGGAAAACATCCTTTCCCAGATGCTCGATTCCTTTCTAACCCTTCCCCTTAAGGCATCCTTTGTTGGTAGGTTATCCCTGTCATTTCCCAGAATTCTCCTTCCCACCTAGTGAAGAATGCCCAATCATAAGCCATCAAAGGGAAAAGCGTGTGGTAGGGTGCGTGGTTTACCCTCTCCAGACACCTCTAGGTCCAGAGGCGGTCGTGGGGCCTGAATAAGAAGTGTGGTGCTGCTCGGCTCGGCATCACGTAGCTAGGGGAACGCACAGTGTCTGCAGTGAGCTTGTAGGCCACCTGCATCCTTGCTTGCAAGCACACGAGCCAATCAGGGATGACAGAAGGGTGTTACTGTACAGGAGTAAGCAAGACGGGGAGTCAGGGGATTTGTTAACTATGACATTGGTGCGTCAGGATCCTGTTCTAGGTAGGCTCACCCCCAAACAGTTGAGAACAACGTGAACCTCTTCCTGCTTCCTAACAGACACTCCTCATCTCTCCTACAGAATCAACTCCAGCACTGCCTTTGGCTGTTTTCCCAAGCCTGACCTGGCTACACTCCATCCATATCCCTTTCATTCTCTTCCTACACTTTGAGCCCCCATTGTCAATACTCACCCCCAAAACTGCCATCTCATCTTTGAGCTCTAACACCAAGGCCGAGCACAGGTGGTCCCTGGGACAGCACAGGAAGGCTGAACTATCCATCCCTCATAAATGGCATTACAAACTGCAGCTTCCGTGTGGATCCTAGTGAACAGGCCCTGTATTACCAGGAAAGTAGGGAGGAGAGAGGGGATGAGAAATAGAGGAAAAGAGAATTTGCTCTTTCTTTCCAAACTTCTTGCTTCTCAGATAAGCTGAAAAGCTAGCTCTTTCCCCGTGATTCATCCTCCCTTTCATTTAAGGAATCCTGATCAAGGGGCACTGTGTAAGGATTACCCTTTCGCTCCAGGCTTTCAGCCTAGCATGACCTTCGCAAATGGCTTCCTCGGGTCATGCTGAAAGTGAAGTCATCAGGTCGCCAAAATGATAAGAAAACGTGTGTGTGTGTGTGTGTGTACTTACTGACGAGCACCTGTGAGCCCACACTGAATTTAAATGCTTATTGCGCTGCCCACTGAATGCTGGCCAGCAGGGCCACACAGCTACACAAACAAGAGATTCAGTTTGTGACCACGGTACTCAGGTGAAGCAAATGACACCCCGCCCCTTCCCCATCCCCTCTGAGACTGGCCGCCATCTAGAGGACCCAAAGGCTGATCTAGAAAAGACGGTCTCTATTCCCCTCCCTCGGAGCTAATGTAAACTACCAAGACACTCTCTAGGGGTGAAGTAAGGGTCTTTAGCAGAGTCACCCCAACAGTGGGCAAGGTTTTCTCAGCTCACCTCACTGCAAATAGAGCCCTTAGGCAGGAAGTTAGGGGAGCAACAGTAAAGGTTATAAAACCCTGCTCAGTGACCTTTTGAGTGATTGGGTTGATGGTCGGAGGGCAGCTGTCTGCCCCCTCATGATCCTTGGCCTGATGAGTGGCTGTGGCTGGCACTCAGCAGCCACTTCCTATGTGGAATTCAACTTGGAAGTTCCCTGCACAACTCCAGGAACAAAGTCTCTAGGTTTTGGTCCAGACAATTGTCCCTACTCTGGCACCTTTGTGACAAGAATCTGTTGCAGGGACAGAGCTTTTGAAGCCAAGGAAGGTCAGGAGTTTGGGTTGCTTTTGCCACCTGAAGGATGGGAGACTGAGCAGCAGCTGTTGGCAACAGTTGGTCCTCAATACGCTGTGCTATCAGTGCAAACAATAACCAACACCCAGAGACCTGGCAGGAAGAAACCACAGAAATGACTACCCTGCTCCCTCTCATCCAAGGACCCACGCAAAAGCTGGAGGACATCAAGATCCCACATACTCTGTAAGGTCAGCTCCCACCACCCAGTGCAGCTTTTAGGTGGAGGAAGACGAAGATGGCTGAATGGTGGCCATAGGGATGTCCTCGGGTCTCTCTCACGCTGTACCTTGGCCTCTGAACCACGTGACTATGAACCCATGCTATGTGTCTCTACTTCCTATGGTCATCCTCACTCCCAGTGCACATACAAATAGAAGCCTGTTTCTTGCCCTGTCACACTCTGAAATGCTGGCTGATATCTTTCCGTGGCCCCTCAGACATGGTAGCGCAACTCGCTGCAGGTGCCTCTATTGGGATGCGGGAAAACCAGAATGGAATTGTTTGTAGGGTTTTTTGTTTGTTTGTTTGTTTGTTTGTTTGTTGTTTTTCATGGTTCTAGGAGTTGAGTCTTGGACTTTGCGCTTGTTGGACAAAGCCCTCCTTGTACTTCCCATTCTGAGGCCAGTTCTCAACGAGTTGTCCATGCTGGCCTTGAACTTGCCATCCTCCTGCTGCAGCCCCCCAAGGAGCTGAGGTCACAGGCGCAGCAAGAAGGGGATTTTACATGTTCTGCAAAGTGAAGAATGCTTACAAGGCAGCTATTTTGGGGAGGCCTCTTTAAATTCTCGCAGCACATACAGAAAGGCTCACCTGAAGGCTTGGCCTGACTCTTGGCCATGCTCCTCTACAGATGGGCGCGTCAGCTTTGGCTACAGCACAAGCAATGCTCACTCCGCCTCAGCAGTCTTAGTCAGCATGACACATCACGAGGGGTCCTAGATCATCTACAGACTCTTGTGTAGCCTGAATGTCCACAGCGTGTCCACTCACAGTCCAGGACCGTCACCAGGCCAGGCATGTACCAGAGAGACTGGATATAAGACCTTACCAAACCCAGCTTCCCTAAGGAGGAAGCCACATTTCTTCAGCGGAGGCGTGGACAGACCCACTCTACCACAGCTGGTCTAAGGCTGCACTTCACCCGTGCGCCATTCCTCCCGCCAGCAGTCCTGCAATCTATGAGAAGCAAGGGCTAATGCCAAGTTACCAAAGGCTCGGGATACAGAAATCCAGAAACAGGCTTCCCGTGCCCCCAAAAGAAGCTGCTTCTCTAAATTATTTTGAAAAGGTTCAATACACACGTTCTCTCGCTGTTCCAGAGAGCTGGCAGAGGACTCACCCACCAATACGTGTGGGTCGCACACTGTCAGTTTTTAGCCTTGGCTGATTCTGGATGCCCCTTCTCTTTAGCGGGGCTCTGCCTGCCAACCGCCCGATGTCAGGACTGTTCACGGCCCTTGGAAGGGCAAACAGATAAGCTTCTGGGATTTCTGGGCCCCAGATAACTCATCGGCTCCTCGGATAGGCCCCCTGCACTCTTTTTCTCCGTCTCTTTCATCGCAGTGAAAAGAGGTCCCGCTAAGGACTGCGCAGGGAAATGGCACCTTTGACAGCAGCCCGGGAGGGCGGAGCACACACACAATGGTCCCAGGCTAGTGTCTAACACTGTCGAGCAGGACGCAGTTCTTTGTGGTTTTCCGTACCCTATCAAGCATAAGATTCAAGAGTCCATTTGAGCTCTTTCCCGAGTTGCTTTTCAAGCTAAAATCCCATCCGCTGACCACACTGGGGTTAGTTAAGCACCACAGAGGATTTTACGCTAACATTTTTTTATTATTTTATTATTTTGTATCTGCGGGTGTTTCGTCTGCATGTATGTCTGTAGCACACCATGTGTGTGCATGGCCCACAGAGACCAGAAGAAGGTGTAGGATCTCCTGGAACTGAAGTTACAGGTGGTTATAGATCGCCATGTGGGTGCTAGGAATTGAACCCGGGTCCTCGGGAAAGGCAGCCAGTGTTCTTAGTCACTGAGCCATGGCTCCAGTCCAGACTTTATTTTAAAAGTCAGCCCAGCTTATGAGAAGGGGTGGGGGAGAGAGGAGGGGAGGCAGTAAAGATGGCTTAGCAGTTAAGATCGCACACTGATCTTTCAAAGAGCCTGTATTTCAAGCATTCTTGTCACAGGGCTCACCACCATTTATGACGTCAGTCCTAGGTGAGGACCACACCTTTTTCTGGCCTCTGAGAACCCCTACACTCATGTACACACAATCACACACATGCATACACATAGTTTTAAAATACCCAAATAATTTTTTAAAGCAGTAGATGAAATATATTAAAATCTCTGAGGGATATAGGGTATGTGTCTGTGTGTGAACATACCAAATGTGTTTCTGTTGCCTTTCTTGATATGTATTAAAATTGCTTTGCCCCCCAAAAAGAAAAAACTGTAGATGAAACAAGTTCCCTGGGGCCAGCCCCTGTACCCCCCCCCCATCAATGGTGACTGAAGTCAGCTCCATCTCTGTCTATGCTACAGCTCTAATCTAACTCCTAAGCTAACAGCTCAGAGGAGGAAATCGCCCATGGAAAGGCACCATGGAAAAGTCCACAAGGATACAGACTCATTACAGCATCCCTGTCAGGGTTTCCAGGGCGCATGGAATCCGGGTCTTGGTGGAGCTCAATTCTTTCCAGCAGCTG